GAAGAAATAAAAAACATGTCTTTCTAATCCGCCTGAGCGGATGTATGTTAAAGAGTGTGATGAAAATAGGATGTGATCTTCTTTTCGTGATAGGAAAGTGAGTTCGATCTTTATTTACGATTTATCTCGTTTGAAAGATGTAATCGAAGGTTCAAAATGCTCGATTTTATTTGCTTGAATAAATTTTACACTTCGAAAGAATATGTAAATTCAATGTATCGATTGACTCTCTTTCTTTCGTATGCGCATAGAAGAAGAAAAGCGAATCACCTTGATCTTCATAGTTGTCATTACTTATTTGATTCAGATAAGTCAGTCAATATAATGAGAAGCCTAGTTTAGTCTTAAATCGTTCCAAGGACAAACAGGTCGAGTGTCCACAAGGCTTCTTGGAATAATTAGCTTACCGTGGATCATCAGAATAATTTGATTCATCTGAATAATGTCCATCATCATTGTCATCATTGTCATGTTGTGTCATTGCTTCAATACAGTTAATCATTTGAGTTGAATGAACAATTGCTTGTTGGTTTACTCTATTCTGATCATTAATGTTATCATTTGTTCGTTGATTCTCTTGTTGATTTTGTTGATCATGCTGAATAGACGATGTCATCGATTTATTTAATGAGACATCGTCTACATTCGACCTTATCGTCTTGTTTGGCTCAGGAGGATGATTAACGTTGTCATAATCGGATAAGCAATCTTTTCCTTTGACAATGGTGTATTTTGTTGCATGTACAACGCCGGAAAAATCAGGTTCAGGTGGTGTTAAACTAAGCCGTATTCGAATAATCTGATCATCATCATTAGTTGTCGGATTTTCATTGCTAAAAAACACAGCATCAACATGTGACGAGTAAATCCCGGATGATCACATTCGATTCGTGATAGGAAAAAGAAGAACTTACTGCGAGTCGATTGGCATAATGATATCATATGTGTCGCCATAATCTTTAACCGCTGGTGTTATGGCTTCCGAATTATCTTCGGTATCGGATTGAAAAACAGTTGTATCTGAACAAACGCTAACATCATGTTGTTGATGTGTTAATCGCGCTGGAATATTCGAGGTTATTGTTGTTAAAGATAATCCATCATCTATTCGTGTGATTTCTTCGGGATAGAAGTATGTGTTCTCAAAATCCATACTATTCGTCTCGTGTGGTTCGGTTGGTTGTTCTTCCGAAAAACTTGTTATTGCTGTTATAGCCATGGTCAAATGATTCGATAATGAACTTGTGCGTACACGTTTTGATAGCGATGAGCTATAACGATTAAATCGCTTCTGATCGTTTGATCCGAAAATATTTCCACTGGAAAGACTTCGACGTTTGTTGATTAAATGCTCATTAGCCGATGAATTCATCATTGTACGTGATAGTGCACTCCCGTAGGATTCACCTTTACTAAATGTTTGTTGTAATGTATTTGCAATCACTGATTGTAATGTTTCAGCTGATGACGAATTTAAAAGGACTAAAGGATGAAAGATGATAATAGGTGGATTTAACAATCGACGTCAAGTTTACCTTTATCTTGTGTTTTCTTTTCTGCATCATCGAGATGATTTCTATTCTCGAAATAATCAATACGTTCTTGCACATCATACAATGAATGTGTTCGAACAGTTGGTTGAGAATCGAATAATAGTTTCATCGGAGTCTGTTGATAGATCGTTGATGTTTTCTTTTGAAAATTTAAACGATTTTTAATTTCATGAACACGATTTGTTCTTGATGAATGATATATAGTTGAATAACAAAATGGTGATGTTGATGATGATGACGATGATGAACTTGGTAATGTATAATATTTTTCTGTCATCATCATCGGAATAGTAATCGTGTTCAATTATAACACACACCCACACACAAACGAGAGAAAACGGTGTTAGATTGCCGGGTTGAGATATCTATCTTGATGTGTATAATGTATGGTCACCTCCTCTTTTCGGGTTATTACCGATTGAAATGTATGAATGAGCAGCTACACGAGTTTCACACTAGCGTTCTTTTGAATCGTTATTGAACGAGAATAAAATCTAAATGGTGATGTAAAACACGGAACAATAGTACGGTGATGAGTGTGTATGTGTGAAAATTAATCAATTATCTATTTGAGCAATTGAGCGAGAACGAAGAAAAATTGAGAAAATGAAGAAGAAGAGCATAGACACATCGTTGACAATCGAAAAAGAAGGAATGTATGTGTGTGTGTGTATAATGAACACGCGGTAAGTAAAGCTTAGAAAAGATCAACAGATTGTTTTGTCTTCCAAGCAATTGAATAGAAAATTTGAGAAAAAAAAATGTTATGCTGATCCAATGTGTAAACAACGAATATCTCTCAATTAGTTCAGCGATAAGTTGTTATTAAGAAAACTAATCTCTCAAGGTTAGGGCGTTATGTGACATCGATTAAGATGGGTGGATCAAGCAAAAACAAAGAAAGAGGAAGAAGAAGGCGAAGATAGTAATTTGGTTTTAACACTTAATCTTCTATGAAATAACAATGGATTTGGTTGACCATCTATCTTTTGAATATAGAAAAGAAGAGATTGATAGATTTTTATCTTTACAAATGCGTATCTTCTTGTTCTCTACGCTAGTTAAGATGCGATTTGATTGTTTTATTTTTCATTCTGATCAGACAATCATTAGTCGTTCATATAAAATCATCGACCATCAAATCAACGTTTGTTTTTCGTTGCCGTTCTCTTGCGCTAAAGATAAATCTAATAAAACATTCTACTAAACACGAGCACATGCGTATTGGAATGCAGACAATGCTGCTCTATTCATCTACTTATCACACAAAATTGCTCGACTATGATAAGAGAATAATTTCGACGTTGAAATATTTTCACAGAAGCTCACAATCGTAGAGCAATAAGATACAATCATGGAAACCATACGTCTTACGCTGATCTTCTTGCACACAGTGATCATCATTTTTGCAACCGTAGAATTATATTCACATTTGAATCATGTTCCCGATGATAAAAACAAACACATTTCAGGCATTGTTCATTTTGTCACTGATTTCCTATATATTATACTGTATCATGTCAGTAGTATGATTGTTGTTTGGTATACTAATCGGTCAGGTTCGGGGATGGTGCGTGCAACTGGCATATTATTGATTGGTGAGTTAATACAAGTTATCTCTTCGATCATTCAACTTGTACTTGATCCAAATTTTACGATGAGCAATGAACTCTTGTCATTTATTACATATGATATGGTTTTAGTCGCAGCAGTAATACTAACATTTCGAATGAGTGATCAAATCTCAAAGCGTCGAATCGAATTTATGCAGATTGAACTGCTTCCAGATATGATCAGTAGTCGAAGTGTCGACAGTAGTAATGAACCTGCATTTCTTTAATTTTTTGTGAAAATCATTTCGAATAAAACAATGATGAATATACATTTGTTGCTCAAAGCATTCATAGAATCATTGCTAAACGGCTAGGCTAGAGTGAACTATATAGAAAAATAGTGATGGTGTATGTTTTTAAACCAATGAATCTCGCTTCGATCTCACTTTCTGCTGCTGTGGCTGTTGTTGTCGTTCAATTTTCAATCAATTTTCTCTGACATTTTTGACAATAACTTCTATTTTTAATGAAAAGCTCTGTACCACTTACTGGTACTATCGTTCTACACAAAACCAAAACTAGTCTCGTCGAGAGTAACCTTCGTCAATCGACTCAATCAACTTGATTTGTTTATTGCTCTAGACAAATAGACCCTTCCGTTTTTACATCAGGACAACGTTAAGATTACGAAATAGTTTCTCAAATTTATTTCGAAAAGTGCTATTGTGAACATTGAATTGATTCTGTGCATTCATTCAAACTCTAAACGAGAAGTTTAACCTAACTTGAGAAAATACAAAAAATTCCTTTTGAAATGAACTTTGAGAGATGAATACAAGTTTTCACTACTATCTAACATATTGAATTGAATGTCCACTGGCAGGTAAATGTGTTCTTTTATTTGTTGCTCATTGCTGATGGAGCATTTAAATATCTAATTAAAAGAAGCAAAATGCGATTCAAGCGAACATGAACAACGCGCCAAAAATAGTACCATGTGTGAATAACAAATTGTTTCAATTGACCAAGATGTATAAAGAATGCGACGTTACATAAAATCATATCCACGATTGCTTGTTTCCATCCGAAAAAACCGCTTATCATATTTGTCACTATATCGGCAGTGAGACTAAGAGATAACGTGGCTATGAATAATTTCACATCTTTGTGCCTGTCAGGCACAAATACTAGGATAAGTTACTTTGCGAAACAGCGCTGTAATCAAAAGCTATTTCTTGAGACCGAGGCATGCGTACGAATAATCAATCCATCTACTCTATTTTAGTATCTGTTTCCATATGGAACCATGAATGGATATATTTTCACACTGTTGTGCGAGTGACATCAAGTAAAAATGGTAATCTTAGTGTCAGTAGTAATATGTGACCAGCGGTACGACATTATTTATATTAATCCTTTCGCGCCGGGTGTGCCATAAATAGGACCGCAACATTTTTCATTCTATGATCTGTATGAATATGACTCTAAATACAATTCCACGTATGTATTTGAGGAACTGTGCCTATTGCGAGGATACAGAGATCGATAGTGATCATGTCTTTTCAATAAATAAGTATGCATTTTTGAAGGTCGAACAGTCGAGCCATTGCATTAGTTGAAACGCTTGTTTGGACAAAAACACGACCTTTTCCGTTAAAAGTGGAAAACTAGAATAACGAACGAAGGTACTATCCTATTTGCACTTATATAATTCATAAATCAAAGCACGAAACAAAAACTAGCTGTAAATACAAAGAATGTAATGTTCGACTTACTCGTGCCATCGTATTTCGAAGCCTATGATAAGTTAAAACAATTTTTAATAAGGATTATATTGTAAAGAGCGAAGGTTATTGAATCATGGGCTTTCTAGAGATTGAGAAAGCTGCTTCTCTCCCTAAACGCACGAGCTATTTACATATTCTCAGAAAAACTCTTTTTTCTTTAAGTATCAACGTACTTCTCACTGAGAGAAAACCTCGGCGCCAAAGGGTTAACCTATCACACTTATGAAAGGTGAGGAGGAGTAATTGATTTGAGAGCGAAACCATTGATCGAAAGTTTCATTGGTCGGCATTTCTTAAAACTAGATTCAAAAGAAAAATTTCCTTCTGTGTTCTATTCATTCAGATATTATTTCTTAATTGCAGAGCTGAGCTGATCCAATAGCGACTCGAACAATTCTGAAAAGTTCAGAGAGTTGCTACACGGATTTTTCACAAAACGTTTTCTTTAACTAAGACACTCCATACCTGATGTTAACCATGAGCTTTGCATTGTTCTTTCTAACTCATCGAATCCAATATGAACACTTAAAACAACACCAATAAATTTTAATTGGTAATTTTACGAGATAGCTAACCAATTATACTTCTACCAACACGCAGCACGTCCCGTGATCCATTTACTCTATTTAAGAGCTACAAAGCTTTGCTAAAAGATGTCATTTAGTTTTCTTGGTAACACCCTTAAATACCCAGGTCATCGTGACGCGTTCGACAAATAATAATGACATGCTATGATCATCAAATGTAATGATCCGTAAGTACACCTAAATCAAAATAAATTCATGCATGACTGTGGAAAAGAGAGTTTAAAACTATTACATACGTATATTGCTTTATTAAACTGTCGCCGAATAATAGCATCGATTGCACATATTTTCAGTTGTTGAACGGAATCGTCCACGATCAATTAGTACGGAGACAAAAAGGGTAGCGATGAACTAAACATGGTAAAGATCAAGATACATTCAATGTAATAGTTTGCTAGAGTCCGCCTTGTTGTTGAAAGATCTTCTTTGCCTTACCACGTACCTTGATGTTCAATCTTTCTCAAGAGTTCATGATGCATGTCTATTAGAAATTTTAAAACGCGCAATGGAGAAATGTGAACTCTCGAGTAAGCGATAGTAGGGAAAGGAGTTAAGTAAGAGTTCAAATATGAGCATCGATAAGACGATGAAGCTGGAGGATATAGGTATGCATTTGTGCACATCTTACTGTGGATGCAGTTGTAAAGACAGTGCTATCTATCCAGCATTTTTGTACATATCTACTGCCATCATTGCTCGAACCCTTCACTCGAGATTATTTCTCAAATCTTACTCTTGCGATTTTTGTGACACAATAGCCTTTGTCTGGCAGATTCATAAATAGAGTGAACAGTAGATGATCGGTTGATGCGATTAAGAAAAGCACAAAAATAATCTTCTTATCGAAGTGAAACTTCATCTAAAATGTGGACAGTAGTGCTGAGTCTGTATTTGTTCAACTTTTTGCAAAGATCATTTCTTAACAATTAGATCAGAACTATGAATGATAAGTTTATCGAATGAATTGACCATGTTATGTATTTTTACATCAATGAATGGCTTATAAATTTATTTGTAGAAAAATCTATAAAAGTTGATAAAAAAATTATTTTGATTGTGTAGAAAGATATTCATTTTCTCGGATTGCCTAAAATAGATTCAATCACAAATAGAAAATTCAAATAGTCTCACTTACTTCTTGAAAATCTTTGAAAACTTTTGCATATTGTCGTGCTTTTTCAATCAATTGTGTAAATTGAATATTCAATGTATCACGTTTTGACTTCTCTTCCTGCTGTCGTCGTTCAATTTTCAAACGGTTTTGCTTGACACTCTCAACAATAGCTTCTAATTGTTTGAGAAACAGTTCCTTGCCGCTGGTTGATACTATCGCACTATAAAAACTCAAGAGTTTCATTCGTGTTCAATGCCAAACTCTTCTTTACCGAGGATAACCTTCGTTAACTGATTCGATCAACATGATTTCGTTCGTTATATAACCAATCATATCAGTGAATGTGTTGTATAATGTATAGTTTTGTTTTGTTTGTCGATGTAAAACAGCACTCTGACTATATAGTTGAAAGAAGGCTTGCCGATATTGAGCTAGTTCATTCGCTGATGGAATGTCATCGATACGACGACTAATCACCGAGATTTCACGCACCTTCTTAGCCTAGAAATACGAAAACATTTTCTTGATCACTTGTTCTACTCGATTTGAATGGAAAATCTTACCATTGTGATACGTTGTTTTTGTAAACGATCCGAAATTGTTTGGTATTGCTCGTTAATCTGTTTCATTTTCTCGTTTTCCGCACTATCTGTCTCAGGTGATGCTTGTAAACGTGCTTCTAGTTTGACGATTTCTTGTTCAAGATCATTCTTTTCACTTTTTAATGCAGCACGTCGTTCACTTTCTTCTTTTTTAGCTTGTTCATAAGCTGCTACTAAGGCTTGAACTCGTTTTAATGCTCTGAAAGAAAACGAAATTAGTTGAAAACGAACTTTATTAAATGCTTTTTTGTAATACTCTGGATCGATATTCTGTGTTTGTATTTCGATTTCATCTAATTCAGCTTTTAATTCTTCGTATTGTTGTTTAATCTTAATAATTGAAAAAGAGACGAAAGATAGTTCAATTAAATTAAAGAGAAAATCAATATTTACTGCTGATGCTGCTTTGAATGTCTGTTCCTTTTTACTTTGTGCTTGTTCAATATTTGTTTGTAATATTTGCTTTCTTTCAGTTTGTTTATTCAATTGAACTTTGAACGTACGAATTGCTAATAGTTGCTGTCCACTTTCAGATGAAAAGGCTTCTTCAAGACGAGCTTTTTCCTTTTCATATCGAGAACAAAGTGGATGTCAAATGAGTTGTCATATTTCATTTTACTTTTTCTTCAAAATCTTCTATAATTCCGCGAAGAGTATCCTGCTGTTGATTAACTAGAGAATTCACTATTTGTGTCGCGATCTTCGACTAAAACCTTCGTTGGAGTAAATATGCAATTTGATTGAAGAGAAAAACTCACCTTTTCATCGACCATATTTTTAATTAATGCGTCAACATCTTGTTGCGGCTTTTCATTTCCACTAGTTGGATCAATTAATTGATGCATTTGACCAAATTCTACGAGAGTAGAATGAACACGCTTGCGACGTTCATCCGGATTAGTCAATCGCTTCTTTTTCTTTTCTAAACAACGAAAACGACGTTGTGGTTGATGACGAATCTAAACAGATTTACTGAATATACATATCATCTTCGCACAAAGAAAGAAAATATTACTCGAATATCTTCGACATTTTCTTTGAAAGATGACGATTGCGTCTACATCAATACAGGACATTTCATTTCAATCAATACTTTTCTCAAATGTTTTTACTTCTTCGATTGAACCACCGAAAATTTTATCATATTGATTCAATGTGTATGCACGATTAAAGTCACCAGTTTCAGCACGTCGCTCAAAGACTTTTTTTACAAGCCATTGAACAACGGGGAAAATGTGGATAAAATCATTGCCTGGAATCTGATGTGGCTCGATGACATATGGACATTTCATCCGAGATAAAACAAGAACAATACGTTCTGTCAATTCTCTAATAAAAAAAAACCATATTTCCTTTTCAATACGAAACCATCTAAATTTGTTACATTTTTTCACCAAGAATCGCATTTTCTTGATAGAGTACGTCTATATCGACAGCAAAATTACAAGCTTGAATGCTCCAAGCAAGACCCCCGACCACCTGTGAATGAATTATGGTGAACAATGTCTTAGTTCAACGAGAACAATTACTTTATCAAAGTCGGATAAACCTTTGATGCGCACTCGAAAATATCCAGCAGCTAATAACAATTCCATTGTCTCGTCGCATTTTGCTTTTTGTTCAGGGTCTTCACGAACATCAAACTAATAAGACAAATAAATATTCGAAAATGAGAATTTCTTCTGCCAAAGAACAAAGTACAACCTTTCCTAACATAGCCATTTTCACACGAAAAAATACACAATAATTGTTTTCAAAACGACTTCTTCTTTTTTTATATTCTTGTTGGTTAAATGATAGTTGAAATAAAACTTCTTATCACTGTAATAGAGAACGAGAAAGAAAAGGCACAATAACATTATCTTTCTTAATTTATCTTTTCTTTAACTGTATGCAATCATTTCTCTTTCTTTGTATGTGCGTTTTAGAGATAGTAATGACACCGTTCTGTTATTTGAATCTACGTTCATGAGCAATTAATTAGTTATACACACAGAATAAAGGATACATCTATTATTTGACCTTATACAGTTCTTTTTCGCGTTGTGGTAGGGGCAAACTGTGTTTATTCATTATAACACAATCGTCTCGCCATCCATCCCTATATATGCGTCTGGTGCCCTCCTCTTTCTCACTTAAGGTATACTCTCACCCTTAACGTCCGTTCAATATAAAAGAGAGAACGAAGAGCGTTCATTGTCCAGACATATAATGGACGGTCCGTGTGTCGTGATCTTGAGTCAGTCACAAAATGTCCTCGTTATTATGACTAATATATGATCAATTAAAATTGTTCATTCGTTCAATGTTCTCCACATCGGTTGTGATCAACAACCACCTTCATTATGATACTTCGTCATCACCATTATCATCATCGTCCTCCTATTCCAGTTTAGATATTTCCGAAGACGACGACTTCTTTTCGTTCAACAACAGATCTAGTCAACAGCTAGCTGAATTAGTTCCAAGCGATCAAAACAATTCCACTGACTGTTCTACTAGGTCACATAGTTATAAACATATGAATGGTCAAATATTAGAATCAAAATTAACTCAGTTAATGAACGAAAATGAAATCTTACGAGCCAAAATCGACATGTTAACAAGAAAATATGGAGATTTGAATAATCCACAAGATGAATTAAAATCAGTCGAACAGCCAACTGTTTCAAGTATTCTCGATCAATCATCAAGACAGATCCATCAATCTGATAATAACTCAACAGTAATGCTAACAGAACATTTAGCTTCAATGCCAGTAAAGTTGCGTTTCAAAGTATCAAATATTACAGGCGAATCTTGATTTGATTTTCAATAAAGAATAGTTTGACAAAAAAAACTCACCATTTATGTTTCTTTTCACACATGTTCTTGAGGTAGGAGATAAGATAAAATTTTATTTGTTTACCAATTCGACCAAGCAAAATGTAGAGTGTTTCTATGCATCTTCGTTCACATGTGCATGATGAAGACTAGCTATAAACAGGTGATATGACGACAGTTGCCTTTTTCTCTATTTAATCTACGCAATATTTCATGCATTAGCTTCTTCTCTCCAGTAGTGTATAATTCAAGATCAAAATCCAATGTTTATTCTGTAGATCTTTCTTGTCTCTCAATCCAAAACTCTCATACAAAGAAAAAAAATTTCCAATGCCCACGATGAAGTTCTTTTTAAACAATATATAGTTAGGAGGAATTTGAGTATCCGTAGAAAAAAAGTATAACGTGCTATCCACCCTCAGCTCTTAAGAAAATATACCTGCAATGATGTAAATAAGGGTTATGTTTTTTTGGATTAACGTGTTATCTCGTAGCTGATGGGATGTATCAATAGGAAGTACATATGATTGCGAGCCAATTTTTTTGTTTTACATTAATGGTTTTGTCAATAGTCTGCGAAAGATTGTGAAACAAATTCTGTTTCAAATCGTATCGTTATGCACTACAATTCTTGTTAAACTGACCTTCATTTTATGATGTCTAATTCTTGTTCTATTTATCATAACCCATACGGCTGAAAACGAAAGTTAATTTGGTGAATATCGTTTGATATAATAAAAGCAACTGCGCTTTAAATATTTTACTCGACGTTATATTATCAGAAATCATCTACAGTTTTCATTAGTGTAGCAATGTGCATGCGTCATCAGGCAGTAGTTTGCAATACAGTAATGGTTGGAACTGATTGAAATGCATAACTTTGAATTGCGAGAATGAGTTCTGACAAGAAAAACAATTGTTGATTCGATTTTTTGAGCGGATAGAAAGAGTAGAAAACGAACAGACATCCTCGTACCAGAAACAAAAATAGAGCTAATGAAAGCCAATATAGAGTGCGAACCGAAACGAGAGGAAAAGAGATGATCAATTGAATGAGATAACAGTGACCGTATGGATCTGTCACACACAGCTTTCGATTCATATATTTATCTTTATTTTCAAAAAACACGTGGTACTTATGGCATAATAACAATTCATTTTCGCGAAATTGGCCACTAAGTAGTATATAAACAATAGAAATTGTATTTAAATAATTTACTTAGAGTCGATCACAATCCCATTCTATTTTAAAGGATGTACAGATAGATAGTCGCTTTTTTGGTATGATAAAGGATTAGTTGTAATGATAAATCGTCAATCTTTGGCAAATCCGTATGTCTTATTGGCCTAGTAGAACTTTCCTAATAGTTGTCTTTCGAATATAAATTAATTTAATACGATATCTTTCGATGAAGCATTATTATATGATGAAGAAATGAATACTGATGTTTGAATAGCTGACGCTAAAACAATTGATGTCAAATAAATTATTTGAAACTACTAATTCATCAAATGTAAATCTTTCAACTGAAAATTTATTATACAAATTCGTTCGTTGATTAGCCTCAAAAAAGTTTGAAACCGCTACGAATTTTCATCAGTTACATGAGCTCACTAAGATGATCGATTTTAGAAATAAACGAAATTAAAACAGTAATTCTATATCATAGAATTTCGCCAATTGAGTAGAATTCCATTTTTTATGAATTATTACTCATCTTTGAAGAACTATGCCATGAAATAAATCTTTGTGATATACGTAAATCAATTGACATTTCTTACATATCTAGCCTTCATAGATTCTCTGTCTATTTCTTGTTCACGTCAATCTTCTCATTCGTCATGTTATTTTCACGCCTTTTTTCTTTCTCCTTTTGATTGATGAATGCCAGCAATATACACATATATTGTCTATGTTTTCCTCCTATTCTTTGTCGAATCTTTTCATCCAACCAAATATATATAAACATATAATACAAACATTCCAAACGAATATCTTTGATTTAAAAACGTACTCTTGAATCTTTTACAACATTAACTAGATGCACTGGCTGACAATCGCTGAAAATCTAGACGACAATTCGCTCCACTGAAATTCAATGAAGTAGAAAATGTTTCATACTGCTGAACTTAACTGTTCCTAGAGAATTACTTGTTGCAACGACTAATGATTCAAATATGTTTTGATAATAAATGTTGTCGATCATGGAAGTATAATAAATAGAAACAATACTGTCGAAAGATAAAAATATCGCGCGAACTTTTCTTTTGTCCTAAGTATTTTTTCATCTGTTTTTGTTATCATGTCTAGTTCTTCAAGCTGTCATTACTACGACATAAAATTAATAAGTTTTCTTTTCAGACGAACGACCTAGATCAAAGTAAATCATTGATATACATATAACCACTCTCTATTGAAAATTTTCGGCTTTTAAAAAATGAATTTGTCGAATGCAAAATGCCAAACTCAAATATTCTCAAATATACCAAAACTTGACTTTTGAGAATAATAACGAATGATTTCTCAACAATAGCTGCGGCATAGGACATATTTTGTGACTTCAATCATCGAGAGTACAAATCAGACTTGTATTCGTTACTCATCGTATGATTGTTTCTTTTTGCCGATAAAAACAAAGATTTCTCACTTCTGATAAAATAAATAGCGTGACAAGAAGTTCGCACTTATTTATTTCAATTTTATGATATTACGATCATTAAATCTCTTCGATCAATCAGTATCTCTGCTACTTGTCACTTTTCTACTTGCTTTACTTATGATGAATAAAAGGAAACAGGAGAAGAAGATATGGTCGGATAGGGAATGACTTCAAACGTTGCGTTTGTACATCCCCGATCAATGGATGTCGTAAACCCGTCAACTTGAAATCAATAAACGTACATATATGTCGGTATGAATTTTTCTCTGATTACATTAGCACGCGTATACACTCATTTTTTCCCTTGAGATGCCTAATGACTTGAAGAGTCAAATTGGTTGAGTACAGCGAACGACATTGTATAAGACGGTCGCTACGAAAGAGGAGATGAAGAAGAAGAGGGAAAAGATTGAAATCACCAGTCAAGTGTAAAGTAGAACAATCAATGATACTTCCGTTGTTATTCTTCTTTTCTTTCTTTCTTTTTTTTTCCGTATTGCTACTGTTGTCTTATTGTTTAATGATATAAAACTGGAAAGGCGTTATTCGGGCGAATCAGAAGCGAGCAATGTTCTCTTCTCAACCATTCAGCAATGCGGATAAGAATTTCTTCTTCGTTTTTTCTCTCTTCATTCTCTCTATCTCTATATTTCCTTATACGAAGGCGGCAAGCGAGTGATGACAGGCATCCCATGTTGAATCTATTGAAAGATCAAACGAGAAAGTAGAGAGACAGATAGATAGACAAAAAAGAGAAAAAGAAACGTTTCCGTCATCTTTCAACAAAATATCAGTCGTGTGATCGAGTAGAGTGTAAAGATTATTTTAGAATATAAAAAGAAACTACGAGACATGGCAACTGCTCAAGCAATCGTTAGTACATCGAAATATGACGATCATCTCGATGATTATTTTACTCGACCAAGTGAAGAAGAGTTTCAACAACAAAGCTACATATATTCTGAACAGCAAAAGCCCAAAGTTACGACGACAACGAAAAGCAAGCCAAGAAAAAATAAACGATCAGGTAGAGATCTTTTGCTTCCGATTAACTAATTGATTTTCCTTGATACTCATTGATACGGAGAAAGATTTTCAATCAAAAGAGATAAACATCCGACTAAGTGTACATTAACTGATTAAAAAACGAAGGGAGCGATGAAACAAAAGAGATTTCGATTCTCTTTTCTTTTTTTTTTCTTGATGAATCTTCCAGTAATCTACTAAAGAAAACAATTAGCCAGTTATCCAGTTGTTAAACTCATCTCACACTTCTTTTCTGACCTTTTTTTTGAATGCTTCAGTCAAACTATTACAATATCTTGTCATTTATTCTACGATAGATATACATATACATATACACACACACATTCTCTTCCGCCTGTCGACACCCTTCAAACAAAAGCTTCGAAGTACAGCACGAGTTTGAATATACATAAATGCATACGAGACAAACAGTTGTGTTTACTTTTGACCATAAACTACATATATAGACATCTTCATGGCGATTGATTGATACTGTCCGGCTGTTCGAATGTGTCAATCGATGTTGAGAAATATACTTTCATATATATTTAGATAATCCACATGCACCTAAACGTATTCGAACAGCTTATACAAACAAGCAATTGTTAGAATTAGAAAAGGAGTTTCACTACTCCAAATATCTGTGTCGACCACGACGAGTCGAAATTGCATCAACATTGTTACTCACTGAACGACAAGTCAAGGTAAAAGAAATCTAATTTCGTGAAGAAATTGTATTGTTTTTCTCTTCTTCTCATACCAGGTCTGGTTTCAAAATCGGTAAGTTACTATTTTTTCTCTTTCTTTCTGGTTTTTCTATTCTCTTTCTTGATTTCTATTGGCTAGTCGGATGAAATACAAAAGACAATTAATGTTGCAAGATCCTAAGTTAGCAGAAGAATTCGAAGCTAATGAGATGAATGAAGATGATACAAGTGCTGATGAAGTCGATGCTTCAAGTCCGAAAAATGTGGAACGTTTAACTCGACCAAAGCGTAAAGCTAAAATCAAGGGAAATAAATGCACTTCACATTCGTGTAGTTCTATGAAAAGTGATCAATGGCTGTTTGAACAACAAGAAGGAGATTCAGCAAAAATGCTGGAAAAAGTACGAAAGACCTTCATCAGACTTGAATTTGAAACATTTCTCCTTTTTTTTTGTTCATGAATAGGTAAATCCAATTGAAAAACTTGATTCACTATCTGACCAGCAGATTCAAGCATGTTCAACATCACCGAAAGTCACTAAAATCGAACAAACTTCTCCCGTTCGTACGGATGATTGGACCAACCAACCACAACAATCATCAACGATGATAACACCTCCACCAACAATGACCACAGTTTCGAGTTGCGATACAATCAATTGTTCATGTTGTGATTATGATGGACAATATTATCCAACATCATCGTCAGCATCTGCATCCTACAATTCGCATTACTATTCGTCTTCTCAGCAACAGCAACCAACACCATCTCAACATATGACAGTAAACGTACCTGTTGTGGCTAATTTTCAAGTTAATGTCAATACAGCACATCCGGGATATCCATTGACTAACTCAAATAACAACCATCATCATCACTATAATGTGTCTAGAAAACAAAATATTTATTATCAACAAGCACAACTACCACCACAGCAACAGCAGCAGCAGCCAATGCCTTCATCCTACTATCGAAATGGATATCCATCAGCAATGAAATATAGTCAGCAGCAGCAATCACCGCCGATTTATCATCAATCACAATCATATTCCTCGCCGAATCAAGCATTTATGGAAAATACCAATCATTTTCCAATGACTTCATCGTCGTATCAACATGATTTTGTATATGGTCATCGTCAACATCCTTCGCTAGGATACAATTCATTTACTGCTAATCAACCTTCGCATGGACATATTTATCATCAATTGTAAAATCAGACCGAACAACACCATCATCATCTTATGACTATTTTCTTTCTTTTTCTTTCTCGATATAAAAATAAATTCTGTGTGGATCTGTGTGTGTGTGCGTGTGTCTACGTGTGATTCAGTTTCAAAAAAAAACTTCAAATGCTTTTTTTTGCTCTCTTTACATATTGGATATCAAATACAGATACTGAATTTGATTATTCTTGAAATGATGTTCTGTCTGTCTGCTAGTGACATTCGACAATGATTGGTTACGTGTCTATTCAAATCACTGAACTATATGATTCATCTACAGAAAGCTCTTTCTCTCACTGTTCCATTTCGGTTATATTTTTCTTTTTTCAAATCTGTTGTCTTCGGTCAAAATGACTGAAGAAACTCAGAAGAAAATAGAAGAGTCGATATCGTCAAGTGACGTTTTAACCACAATCTATGACGTCAATCGTGCAATTTTTCGACATTTACCAATCTATTCTATTGACTCCTGTTCTTTGGTGTGTCAAGCTTGGGCTCAGCTTGCTCGTTTGGTTAAAACACAGCGGCATACTGTACATGCTTTAACTTACCCGCCGAATCCCTTATCGTCAACGATAGAATTTCCATATCTTCGGTCGGATTTTGATCGATTTCTTTCATCAGTCATACAAAACAATCTCTGGTCAATTCCATACTTAGCATTCATAGTTGTGACAAACAATTTAGAAAAAAAGGGTTTCCAATCATTAACATCCGCAACAGGAGATGCATCATCTTCACCTAAACATCCAAAACGTTTTCGTTCACAATCGGCATCGAATCGAACACAGCGCTGTGATATTCTCCAGTCTTGCTTGCATCATTTGAACAAATCATGTCAAGTCCTGATGGTTGTTTCAGATGCGATTGTTGCATCGAATGAAGATAATCAAACCAATGAAATTGAACAAGGTAAATCGATCGAGACATTCTAACAGCACAAACTTTCGTGATAACTTTTAGATGACGCTTTGGGTATTCTTCTACTTCCTAGATTTCCGTCTAATACGTTAGGAGTCTATCCGTTTGAAATCTCAAACAAAACTCCAATATCATCTACTATGTCTCGTGCAGATTTACATCAATGTCTTGGAGGTATTCCAGACAACATACCGATTCGTTCTGTCATATTCTTCTCGTCGTCACCTCAATATCAAACAGTGAACTGCATGAAAAAATTACTGGAATTTTATTCGCCGGATATAGCTATTATCGGCGGATACGTCAGCCGAAGTCGTTATGATAATCGAAAAGATACGAGGAAACATTCCTCAACTAATCCTTGTGGAATTGTTCTTACTGGTGATCGGAATCATTTACATATTCGTCAAATTGTCTTAAAAAATCAGATTCAAACACGAGAGGCCATACGAGAAAAATTGAAAGAATTAAAATCAAACGAGTATCAACAGCGTTCTTTATCATTTGCAATACAAGTCAGTTGTGTAGCACGCGGCTTAGATTTCTATAATCAAGAATCTAATGTTGAATGTTCGGAATTTCGAACTTTATTTCCAAATACACCATTGATTGGAATCTTTGGTAATGGTGAATTTGGTCATGATTACCTGGCGGATGAACAATCGAAAACACAAACACTTAAAGATTTGTTTCATAGTTACTCGACAATATTTTCACTCGTTTCGATACGTTTGTAAAAATAAATATCTTCGATTCAATGTTCTTCAACATTCAGAGTTGTAATACTTCAAGTCGAATACTAGTTTATTGGAGACAACGAAACATCGAGATTTTCTTTCAATTTTATGTACATACACAAGAGAATCGACTAGTACATGGGTCGATTAGGAGGATAAGAGTGCGGTCGATATTGCTGTTGAGGAGGAACAAATTGTTGTTGGGGTGGAGGATGGCCATAAGCTGGGGGACGGAACCGCATATCATAGAGAGGTGGTGGCGGTGGCATTCCTGGAACATTCATTGGTGGAAATGTCATCAGTGGTGGAGGATGTGGAGGTGGTTGTTGCTGTTGCTGTGAATCAACACCAAGACCAGGAAATACAGCAGCAGGGGGATGTGTAGGAGGGAGTAGTTGAAGTGGTGGATCAAGACGAGTTTGTACCGACTGAGACGGTGGTGGTGGTTGTTCATGACGTCGTTTAACATGTTCTTGAAGATCACGCTGTGATGTGTATCCACGTAGACAAGCATCTTGTGAATGTGGATGTGACCCGTGATGACAAAGAATAAGGTTTTTCGCTTCGATCTTCTCGATATCACTAATCACTTCGTTGCATCTTTTCAAAGAAAACATCAAGTTAATTAGTAGAGACTGTTGTGGAAATAGTTTACTTGGGACAATTTCGACTATTAGTTTTACATTCATTGGCACACTGCAGACAGAAAGCCGCATGTTTACATGGAACCTACATTTGAGAATCAGAATATTATGACGATTTTTGTGTAGTGAGTTATGTCTTACCAATCTTCCAGCAAGTAACACTGGATAACGACAACTGAGACAACAGAATGCTTTGGTTTCTTTGATTCGTCTTCCTACATGATTTATCTTCAAACAATGATGAACTCAGAAATTCCTTTGAGCAACGAAAAATCTTTTCAATTTACTCGGTAATCCCATCGAATGTTATTCGGTTGCCTTGTCGATGGGCTTCCACGTGAACTTCGATCACTGGCACTATCATCATCGTCTTCATTGTCGTCATCGTCCATACTTCTGTTTCCATCATCATGATCACGATCTACAAAAAGTATATTGTTATGAAGTCAAAATTATCCTGTAATCAATACAAACCACTGCTCGAAGATGATGACTCACGATCTCCACTTCTCGAACGTGTATTCCTTCGAGATTTCTGTCGATTGTTATCACGAGAGTTTCGTTCACTTGAATGTGATCGTCGTCGAGATTTCTGAGATTGTTGTTGTTGCTGTTGCTGTTGCTGTTGCTGTTGCTGCTGATGAGAAGCTAACGTATTGGTTTCAATTGGTCCCATCTTAATCATAAAATAAAATGATAGTAGAAGTCAGAAAAAGCAGACAGACTTCATTTGATTCATTCGTTCATTCACTTGCGTCTTTCTTCCTATTGGCTTCTTTTCCGACCATACAAAAAATTACTGACCTCTGTTTGAACTCTGTTCTATTCGTTCGATTAATCTCTTGTTCGCACAGAATACATCAACACACATTAGAAAGAAACTACTTGCCTTGTCTTTAGTAATCAGCATGCTCAATCAACAATCTTATATAAACACTGGAGAAGATGAAATGTTATTTGATGACACAACACCGATTACATTTGGTGAAAATAAGAAATCCAATTGCAAAATCAATAAAACGGACGTACCTGTTCAGTATCCAAATGGTAGGAATTCAACAGGTGTATCTTTCATCAACAAGTTCTAGTTTTTTTAAGATGATAAATTATCAACTTTGTTCAACACTACAGGTCGAGAAAAGAATTCCACAGGTCCTTTGAAACAATGGCTGTTCGAACATCAACATCATCCATGTATGTTTGTTCACTGGATATAGACATGCGTTTATTTTTGTCTTATTTTGTTTTTGTAGATCCAAATGAGACGGATAAACAAGAATTGATGGAAAAGACGAAAATGTCTCTGTCGCAAATCACAGTTTGGTTTACCAATGCTCGTGTGAAAATGAGAAAAGAAAATAAATTGCCGTTAAACTTATACGCAAAGAAGAAGAAGAAAAAACAGCAGCATCAGCAAGATGATTCGTTCCATCTTGATGATACATTGTCGCCACCGTTTTCAGCACAAAATTTATCGTTCAATGGTAGGAATGTACAAATTCTCGTATGTGAAAGTTAAATTTTTCTTGAATAGAATTATCAACATCGTTTGATAATGAATATACAAGTGACGGTAATCATGATGATACGTTCACTTCCAATATTGTTATGGTTTGTCCACCGGGAGAAAAGCGGATCGTTTTGGCATATTCATGTCTGAATATTGAACAAATTGTATGTAGAAATTCGAAAGAATACTTCTGTTTTCCAACGAAAGATTCATTTTCTAGACTGAAGTTTATCGTTTTGCGTCGTTATTTCCAAATCAGATTGTCCTGTCGAATTGTGTTGACGATCGTACAACACACTTAATTGTTGGCAATGAAGAAAAGCTATTATTGTGTCCATTGACAATCAAAGTATTTCAAGCGATTGCTCGTCACTTATTCGTTCTGACATATCGTTGGATTTCCGAGTGTTTTAAACAAAGTCAACTCATCGACGAACTTGCGTTCGAAATACGAGGTGATATTCCATTCGGAGAGTATCACGATGGCATGCGTCATAGTCGATTATCAAAACATACAAATCTATTCGAAAATTGTCAAATCTTTATCCTTTGTAACGGTTGTCAAGAGAAAATGGTAAAGAACATCAGTTTGAATGAAATTCTTCGACTTGATTTTCTTAGGGTAAAGCCGAGCTTGCTTCTTTGATAACATTGTGTCGCGGTACACTTTTAAATACTCTTCCAATAACAACATCTAACGATTCGTCGATATTAACCATTGTGCTCTGTGATAAACTACTTCCATTTCATTCTTCCAATCAACAGCAACTATTCGAAACATCACGCTCCAATGGTGTTCACTTTCTCAGTCCTGAATGGATATTGGAATCGATTGTGCAATTTGCTTTACAACCATTTGATAATTACGAAGAAAAGTTTTAACATGAACCATTTCAAATATCTTGTTATGTCAGATATTAGCTGAATGAAACAGTGAAGCCATTGTCAGATATACATATACTTATACATATTCATACATCTCTTTCTTGTGTATTTTGTTTTGATATACAGAGAGAGAGAGAGAGATAGAGAAAGAGAAAGTTGACGAGGAAAACTATCGAAAGACTTGTCTTATGTGTTTATAAATTCAAATAAAAAGAAATCACAGATTTTTTTTGCAAATAAACAGAAAAGCACTGTTGTACTTCAAAGTTGTTTTTAGATTATGAAACGACGACAGGAGACGCAGGAAGACAATACGAAAAAGTAAGCGTTCGTTGATCTATTTTTCACTATGACCATTTTTTCGTTGAAATAGACCGTCAAGAAGTCAATTTGAAGATTTATCAAATGAATTACTCCATGAAATTTTCGATTATGGTGATTTTTGCCTAATGTACGATATCTTTCTTAATTTAAATTCACGCTTTCGATCTCTTCTTACTCAACGATCATTTCTATTAAATATAAACTTTCCATTGAAATCAAAATCTGTCTATGAACGACAATGTAAAGAGATTATTCAACCAAACACTACGCAAATCAGTTGGCTGAAAATAACCAAACAATTTCTTGAGTTTTTTACAATCGATCGGTTTTCTTCTCTTAAAACTTTAATTACTCAACACATTCCACCAGATCGAATCATTACACTTCTACAACAACTAAGATCCTTGCCAAATTTCTCTAGTCTTTCAATCGAATCATCAGATTATTTCCAAGATCTCAATGTTATCTATCTTTCTCTTTTCCAATTAACAAAATTGAAATATTGCCATTTTAAATATCCTCATGGTGGAAATCGTGTGCCACTTGCACTCGCTGTTGATCCACGTCAGATATTAGAACACCTAATCATCGATGGCCATTGTCGTCTTGATCAACTCGTTGCAATTCTTTCTTATCTACCTCGCCTGAAACACTTATCATGCAATCAATTGTACGGTGCGCATTATGACGAGATGAAAACATCGATAAATTTAACAACTATTCGTTTCAAATTACATGCTCTGGAATTTCACGATTTGAAATTATTTCTGGTAAATGTTAGCTCTCGATTGAAAATATTAAGAATATGGAAGACAGGAGATGATGATTATCTTCGTGCGAAAGGATGGGAAGAGTTGATCGAACACTACATGCCATGTTTAGATACTTTTGATTTCCAATATTCAAATTCAGCTAACTTTGATACACAACAAAAATTAGTACAGGAATTTTCTTCGAAATTTTGGATAGATCGAAATTGGTTCTTCGATTATTATTATTATTATGATTCTCAAGTTGACGACGAATGTTACTTCAACTTTTTTTCGATTATACCATACCGGTGAGTTTAAACAGGGACTGCTGATTCGTTTTTCTAACGGATTGCATTCTTCAGATATGAACAATTCAAGTTACATGAAAATTTTAAAACTCATCACCGCATTAATTACGCTCGTCATGTTGAAATCGAAGGGTGTTCGGAAGCAGAGAAGTGTACTGTTCAGTTTCCTTGTGTTAAAGAACTTACTCTTCATGATGTCAAAGACGTTTCTTGGCACGCTTGTTCGATAAAATCTATCATTCCTCTGTTACAAATCAGCAAACTATATATTAAGGATGAAAATTTACCCATCAAGAAGCTCATTTCATTACTACAAGATTTTCCTAACGTAGAATCGTTAAAGTTATTCAGTTTACCCAAAATGTCTGTTAAACAATCCAGTGTGTTTAGTTTGGTACCTGTAAATAATCGAATTACGCGAGTCAAAGTATATGAAGAGTGCGATATGAAAGATTTGAAACTTATTAATCATATGTGTCCTCGCGTGGAACATCTCAGAATATGCATTGACGAAAGTCATCTTGGAACAATCCTCGAGTTTTTATTATTAAATGCTAAGCATTTATTTTTATTAGTTCTTTCTCATGTCAATTACGATGTAGTTGAAAGAGTACAAGCGATTATCGTAAAGAAGAAATTAATTGAGAATTACTCAGTTGAACGTAATCATGGCAAATTGTATCTATGGCGATAGTTTGTGTTTAGCAATCAAAACGAATGACTAATTTACACACCAAATGTATTTTCTATTCATTTGTTCTAGATTTGTAGTATAAGTTTTAGTCATGGAACTCGACACTAATATTCCGAATTCTCCCAAACCTGGTGATACCTTTTATGTTCGAATGAACAATGGCGTTATTCGTAAGTTTCCTATTACCATTCAACATTCGTCGAATACTTCTACTTTTAGATGCTGCTGAAATTCTCGAAACTCGCACTGTTGATGGGTCTGATCAACAAGAATACTTTGTACATTATCTGAACTGTGAGTCGGCACTTATGTAATCTTTGCTTCGGCATTGCATGTCTCTGTATGCTGTAGTTGATCATCGAAATGATCAATGGATACCAGAAAGTCGATTGTCAAGCACTACTAGTAACGAACAAACGGAAATGACGAATGAACAATTGAACGATTCGACCAATAGTTTAACTGGAAGGAAACGTGCACGACTAAAACGTCGTCTGAATGACGTAGGTTTTGTATTTACCCGACTTGGAGTTCGAAATATACTTTGTTAATAGGATCCGACTGATTTTTCACATGATTCATCGTTTGAAACGGTGGATCAAAATGCACGAAGAGATTACAAACCAAATGTAAAAGAAAGACCATTGGCTTTTTCCTATCATAAGAATGTCATTTCGTTGATTTTAGGTCAAATATATCGAAAAAATCTGGCTTGGCCGGTATGAAATCGATTGTTGGTATCATTCACCATTTCCTGACGAATATGAAAAGCAACGATTGCTCTATATTTGTGAACATTGTATGAAATATATGCGCCTGAAGAGTACCTATTCTCGGCATCTAGTAATATTCATGTACATTCACTATCATTTACTTTGTATTGCTTTGTCTTCTTTACAGGCAGAATGTCTGTTGCGCAAACCACCGGGCACAGAAATATATCGAGATCCTAAAATTGGCTGTGCTATTTACGAAGTTGATGGTGCTCAGCATAAATTATTTTGTCAAAACTTGTGTTTATTAGCGCGTCTGTTTCTCGAATCGAAAGTCATTTGTTTCAATGTGTCAGAGTTCTTGTTCTATGTTCTAATGGAATACGATGATACCACACAGAAAGAACGTTTCGTCGGATACTTTTCCAAAGTAAACAACAACATTTTTCATAGAGATTATTGATTTAACATCAATCTTTGTGTTGTAATAGGAAAAGGATTCAGCATTCGGATATAATTTGTCTTGTCTGCTTTGTTTACCACCTTATCAAAGGAAAGGATACGGAAAATTGTTAATTCAATTCAGTAAGTACCACGAAATGCTGAACATGTCTTTCACATTCAGTTTCCTAGGTTATGAATTATCTAAAATCGAAAATGTCGTGGGTGGTCCAGAAAAACCAGTCAGCGATTTGGGACATAAAGCATATCTGAGTTATTGGACTTGGGCACTACTAAACGTGCTAAAAGAGAAACCAGAAATCGAAATTGATGAATTGAGGTACTGAGCGAAAGTAACTATTCATACGTATTTTGAATGTCATTTCTTGTAGTGCAATAACAAGTATCAGCACGGAAAATTGTCTGGAAACGTTGAGTTCCTATGGTTTTATTAAATATTGGCGGCAAGGCCATTTTGTCTGTGCTTCAAGAAAAGGTATAGATGCTCGCCTTCAGGAATTACATGCAAAGAAATTCCTGATCATCAATCCACAATTAATCAACTGGCAACCGAGGGTGAAAGGAAAAGCTGGAAAACATAGTAAAATGTTTCCTTTTTAAGACGTGTTTGTAGATGTTCGTTTTTCATATTTGTTTAATTGCGTATACATATGTGTGTGTATGTATGTTTTTTGTGTATAGGAAATAAAATTTGCTTTTCAACTATGTGCTCATTGACATTTTCTTGTAATGTTCTAAACAGTTTTGGAGGTTTATGAACATTTCAAGCTATCTTATACTTCATCACGGCCACGTCAATAGAAATAAATCGTTGAAATGACTGGAGTACACTGAAAAAGAATCCGGATGACAATATAATTATAACGCATCGCGTTGTTTTCTACACAATTTATAACGAATCAATTTATTTGGTTTCATCCTTTTCTCTTAGAAATGATTATTCAGCGTCATTATGGATACAACCTAAATATGTTGTCGATGATTTTCTTCACTTTGTACCGTTTCATCTAGTTATTCGTCATTGAAGCGTAAGATTGTGGGACGTCTGACCGGTTGTTCTTTTCTGTAATTTAAACCAGCTTTTCATTTTTGCCATGGTCGTCCATCAAATTCACTAGCTTTTCTTAGCATTGAAGTTTAACGGTTGAACTGTAATCCTAAATTTCCGAAGTATTCTCTATCTAACGAAAGTGGTAAATGTAGAACAAATTCTCAAAATTAGTACTCCTTTTCAAACTTTACAAGAAGATTTTTAAGATTTACGCCTAGACACTGATAACTGTTCCGCATCAGTCAGCAACTAGTCGCATTTTTATGCTGCCAGTTCACAGATTTGGTTCTTTCGCTCTTCCTCCTTCATATTTCTTCGCTCCAGGTACTTACTGAGGATCTATTGTTTCGTCACAGCCCCTATGCGATGCGCCCATCGTATTGAACCATTAGAATAATCGGTCAGAAGGTTTAACATTCGGTCGTTTTTGCAGTTCAGAGAAACAAGCAGAAGTGCACCAACCTTGATTCGAAATAGACTCAAGAATATTACTAATTGAAACCCTTTCAACACTAATTTTAAATAGTGCTACTCGGCGGCATACGAATTTCTATTAACGAGAAACAGTTCGGATTTCCTTCTTGTTAGATCTCATAAAGTCTAACAAATTCGTTAATCTAAATAACTCTAAAATCATTTTTTTCTTTTCTTTTCTTTTCTTTGAAAAATGAGTGGATATACATCACATTATTATCATGTATTTTCATCATCTAAGTTGGCTGAGAACGGTAAATTTCATTTATTGAAGAATAAGACACGATATACGACAACGGCCATATTTATGAAAAAACGTCGATGTATACATATTTTCGAGTCAACTTTCAAATAGTTAATGTTACCGTTTATGATAGTTTCGACAAAAAACACTTTGACATATAATTAACGAGCAGTAAAAGTAGGGTTAAGCGTTATTGGTATAACTGGAGTTTGTGTTTGATAAAAATAATTTTTAATAATATTTCGAATATCTCGATCAAGATAGATAATAAATAATTTTTCCAGATTGACAACAAATGTAACAGTAACAACACCAACTGAATAACAAAATGGGCAATCTATAAATTGATCAATCATATATGGAATACCGCCGAGAAAATAAATACCAAATGGTATAATTATATTACGAAAGATTTCTGAATCACGATCTCTTTTTTTCTTATTACGTATTATTGTTGCTGTTTTTCTATAGCTATATATTCGCTTCATTATAAGAATACTAAAAATAATAATTAACAAAATTGGTATTATATAATATGCAATATTTATGTAATATGAATGTAATACATGATCTGATAAAACCCAACAAAGTTCATTTGGACGAAAATAAACGTCTTTTGTTATAAGTGATGGTAATGGTAACGCTAATATAGTAATCCATCCAAATAAAATCAAATAAATATGTGATTTTAATGAAACTAACCAACGATATTTTTCATATAAATTAATAAAGAAAAATCTTGATATTATTTGAAGAACGTAAGAATAAATAATTGCATTTAAAGACATATAAGAAAAATAAGCACGCCATCGACACGATTGATCACTTGTATCCCATGTTATTATTAAAAGATAAATGTAATCAATAAATTGTACGACACAGTATAAAATAGATGCTAAACATGTATTACATGTTAATAAACGATTCACCGTATGCAATTCTTTTTTAAATATGATAAGAATCAGTAGATAAAAAGCAACTAAAATAGCAGTTACCGAAAATGCCATTGATAGAGGAGCGATCAGACTATAATCTATCCTTGTCATTGCCTTTTCATATGTTGAAATGTTCATTTTTTATCAGGAGATGTTTTCTATACAAAAAAACGAGACGTAATTTAAAAAATTATTAACGCACGTCTAAATAGTTTTTTCTCCACTTTTTAAAACTCATTGGACAAAATACAGGTGCGAATTTTCTACTCAGCTTATTCTAATATTATTAATTGAATGAAATTATAAAAAAATGCGAGGTATATAGAGTTATCAAAAATTTTTCAGAAAAGATAAAATGCATAGCTTATTTATCTACGAATGCATTTTTAATTGACAATTATAAATAGAAATTTCCAGTCTACTGATCAGAAGTAATGTGGTGCCATAGCCGCTAACCCTCTACTGAAAGAAAATCATAAGAGCTCTCATATTCCTCAACCGAAAGAAATAAGAACTACGTCATTTAAAAGATCCAATCATTTGATAATTTGTCTTAATCTTCTACTCATACTTATTTTGCTTTCTAAACTCTTATCAGACTGACTTCTAGTCGTTCGTTAGCCTCCGTCTGATCGGCCACTCACAGCTAGCCGTTCCCGCAACTGTCTCCATTATGTCTTTCACTCTTGAATAACTTTGAAAGTGCATAACTACGTTTCTTGCCATTGTTGCTTCCAAATGGATGATTTTCCACTCATTTCGCTACCAGAAGAAACTATATAAATAGTTTTATTTTATGATTTGTCCTGAAAAGAACACGACTCTTACCCAGGACGAACGTCCGGCCACTGGATCGGAACGGAACCCGATCCCTGGGTCGCGTTCAATTGAGCGACACTCGTATGACCGACACCATTTGGTCGACAGCTTGTTTGACCGACAAGTACACTTGATCGACAACTCATTTAGCCGACAAAGTCTTGAAGTCAAAACAATTCAAATTTATCGAAAATAATATTATGCCTAAGGATGTTCGAAATTCAACTGAGAAACGCTGTGGTTTACCGTTACATTGCCAGACAGGATGAACTTAAAGTACATATATGATCGAGTGCATTTTT